ACAAATTTGTGTCCCAAATTCTGTTCAACGCAAGCTTAAAATGTTTATTTTCAGATAAAAACAATAAACTGTTTCTAAATTTAAGTTTCTTTTTAAAATGCATGATGCAATTTTTTTCAAGTAGTTCTCCCCTTTACTTTATTTACGATACCTCGTTCATTTTAAAAACATCACATTTGCGAAAAGCTTACTAGTACATTTCAATGCAAAACTAATTTCAAAACAGTTTCTAACTTCAGTTCAATATTAAATAAGTAATGATTACGAAAAAAAAGTTAAGAAATTTAATAAAAGCAGAAAGATATTTTTAAAGACGTAAGTTTCTTATTACTCCCGTGAAATATCAAAAATGAAGAAATTCTCTGATCTTCATTCCCTATTTCCTTCATTCACAAAAGCAAAACAGTTTAAAAAAGTATTACTCAAGAAAATATCTTTTTTCATGTAATGATTGATTATTTTTCAAATAAATGGAACGGAAAATGTGCAGAAATAATAAGAAAAGTTCTGAAAGGTTTGAAAGTCGTTAAAAAAAGAGTAGGATTTAGCATTTTTAAAGAAAGGTACTAAATTTTGTAAGACTTATTCAATTGATTTGCTTAAAAAGCATTTTTTCACGAGAAATACTGGATTTACTTAGAAATTTAATGACAAAATTATTTTAGTTTTTCTTCTTCAGAAAGTAAGATTTTTCCAACCATAAGAGTGAAATCTGTACATTTTGAGATGTAAGACAGCATACAATTACTTTAAGAGGTAATGAGAGCAATTGAAATTATTAATTTTGAAATAAAAGGGAGATAAGTAAGAATCCGAAGTGCTGTAACCTCCCTGAACCCGAGCACTTAAATAATGGTTCAATAAAACATTACTTGAAAAAACATTCAATTAATTGAATTTAATTATCATGTTTTAGTAATCTTTAATTATAGCATAAAATGGAATAAATTTTATTGAGCAGCATTTTATGCATACTAAAGGTTTATTTTTATAAAGTATTTTTTCGCATGTTAGTCATAATACAAAATCTACTAGACTTATATCATAAGATATTTATATGCATAAAACATTCCAAAAGGTAGAATGAATCGAATTTATTTCTTACCATTTTCATGCTTTATCATTGTTATTAAAAACTCCAGCGAATGAGCTTAAATGTAACTATATTTTTACATAGACAATTCCTTTGTAAAAGAATACAAGCTGAAAGAAATCATGTTAAAAAGTACTATTTTTGAAGCTATAAAATTATACAAAATGTTGTCCAAAGCGTTGATTGCTGGATCTAAAAGTTAGCATACAATTAAGAGGACATAGAGGCAATTAGAGATACGTAAGCTGAGCGGAAGATAATTTGAAAATAATATTATTATCGGGAGATAGGTAGCTGAGCAGGAAAAAAAAGGCGAACTATATTAATAAAAACATTATAAAAAAAACACTAAACTCTCGTTTTAAAAATAAAATAAAAAATCAGAACATTTTTAGAAAGTTTCAATATTCAGAATAGCTCTGTGTGCTATTATGATTAATTAGAATTCATTTTTTTTTATAAAAAAAGATGAATTTAAAAAAAAAGAAAACAATTTTTAAACGCTGCATAGTTGCAGTTTTACTTACCATAATTTTAAAAAGTAAATAGTACACACCATGGAAATTAAAAGTTCAAAATGTATAATATTCTTCAGGAGAAAAAAAATCATAGAATTTAAATGTAATTATCTGTTTAAGCAGATTATAAAGAAGCTTTCATAAAATTCTGCGAGGAAAATAATTTTTTAATTATATATCTTAAAGTTGAAGTAGGAAAACAGAATATAATTAAAAGATAGAATTAATTAGAGGAAGATTAATGTAAATTGTCAACATTAAAAAAAAGTTTTTTTTTTCTAATTTAAGCCCAGACTGCTTAGTTTACTCCCATTTTGCTGCAGGCAGTTTATGGTGCATTAAATTAATCGTTGCAAAACAACTGAAAACGAAAATAATGTTCTATGAATTTCTGTTTTTGAAAGAAAAGGTTCTCTGAAAAGATAGTTTCGCTTGTTTCTTTTTGCAGTAGATTAAATAATGATTGCAAACACATGTTTAAATGCATTCAAATTTCCATGCTTATACACTTAGAATGCATTTTTTCCATAGATTTCTTATCGGCAGGTATTCTTTTTTTGTGCTCTTGTAACAGCAAAATAGAAAAAAATCAAATAACAAATGAAAAAAATCAAATTATTTTTTCTGTGATATTTAAGAAAAAAATTGAACTTAAGTGATATGTTTAAAATTTAAGATCTCTGTATTTGGAGTAATACGTCGTACTTGTCTTGTATCAAACCAATGGTGAAAGTAAAATAATATTTAACTGTGTAGTTAAAAGCCAGTTTTTTAAGAGTCGGACAGGGTAAGATATTTGAAATTTTTGATTTTGTTGAGATTTTCAGGATATGTTCTTTATGTAAAACTATTAGATACCTATTTTTATTCGAACAAAATTTGTCAATTTATTGAAGTAGAGGGGGCAATAGGGTAAAACATAGTCGTTGCCATTTTGGCAAGTGATATGTTTCCGATGTAACGATGTAATTTCTTACTCTCTGAATCGAATGAAGTCTCACTCGAGTCGATGTATCTAATAGTAAAGAAGTTATTTAAGTTTTATGTAAAAAAAGAGAAAGTTCTGACTCATTCATATACACACACATGTATATATATATATAAATCTGGCATTGCTATCTAGGCAAGTGAGGTATTGATTTCAATTTATATTTTTAGCAATCAATGGGAGCACTTCAGTTCACTATCAGTTTCAACGTTATAGTGAAAGGAATACAGTTATGTACTTTTTGCACTTATTAACTTGAAACTTTAACAACTTAACAATTAAGACTTTTATAACTTTAGCAACTAAAATAAGTTTCAACAACTTAAATAAACTTCAACAGCTTAAATAAACTTCAACAACTTATAACTTTAACAACTTTTCAACAACTTAAAATTTTTATATCTTTAAAACTGTTAGTGAACTGAAGTGTTCTGAGTAGGGGAGTTTTCCTCGAAATTTTAGAGGATCTTCAGCTTAACCCCTCAAAATCTTAAATTTTTTTTTAACAAAAAAANAAGTGTAAAAAAAAAAAAAAAAAAAAAAAGGAACAAGTGTCGAATATAATTTTGCATCGAGAGCATATTCAGAAAATTTCAACAAAAACAAAAATGCCAAGCATCCAAATTTGCTTGTTGTGCGATTTCTTTTAAAAAAAAACTTGCTCTCAATATTTAATTTAACGTGAAGACATTACGATTTTTTCAAAGCAATTTTGAAGAACCCTTATTATTTTCTAAAGAAGAGCTAGCGGAAGACATAAAGAGTTTTTCAAGACAATTTCGAAGAATCCTCATTGTTATCAAAATTAGCAATTCCTAATAAATTTCGACTATGGAATTTCAAACGATAGAGCTTCTTTTTGCGAAACCTTGACGTTGCAATAGAGTTCATAAGCCCCTGTGGATGTGCTAGCCAACAAAAGACTTCTAATTATAGTAAAAATATTTTATTTAAAGAAGGAAATATATTATTTCGTTTTATCTATAACAGTCTCAAATTTAAGTTTCATGTCAGGTAGTTAAGTACACAGGTCAGGTCTGAAACGTCCTATGCAGTTTCGGTGCATGTATAAACTAAAATTGAATAAAATAAGTTAAAAATGATTATAGTAAGCTGAATATTTTGGATTCCGGAAGAAAAAAAACCCTTTAAACGTTGGGAGTGGTAATCAGAAAAACATATTTATTTTAAAATTTCGTTATTTTCACATTTTGTAGAAAAACATTGATAATTAATTTTTATTCATGAATGCTCTTTTCAAATACTTTCTTATATATTCTTATATAAATATTATTATTTTCGTTTGTGTGTATGTGTGTTTGCATTCTGGATTGTGGACTTACCGTAAGCACTACACATTCAACATGAAGTTCAATCCCTTAAAAACTCCTCCAAAAAGACTGAAAGGAATAAATTGTCCAAAACCAGGATCAATTTTAGATAAGCTTAAATCTAATGCAATTATAAATTTACTGATTATTCTTCATTTGCTTGTTTTTTTTTAAAATTTTATTATTATTAAAGTTCTAAAAATGTGTATAAACTGTTTCCATCTAATAATATATTATAATAATATTTTTATTTTAAGTTACAAGAAAAATAAATTTTGTAATGAATTTGTACAAGTATAAAAAAAGTTTCTGAAAAACGATACTTTTCCTAACGGATTATCATAGTTGAGGATAGCTTTGTTCGCAACGATAAGTTGCCGAATCTTGTAGCGCTTCCGGCCTTGCATAAGCTTTTGCTCCGGTATGGCGGATAAGTCGATATCTCTAATTCAGGTGCTCTATCACGATCTAGCAACAAATTAGCATTTTTGAAGTTACCTGAAATTTATTATAAATAGCTTATTTTCAAACATTCAGGCTAAGACGACAATTTTTTTCTTCATTATTGGTTGCAATTGGGGGCAAGCACTTCAAGAAGAATATCAAAGATACCCACATATATGACCTATGACGTCAGCTCTAGCTGATTGCTTATAAGCAAAATGGCGCGCTAAAGTTGAGCTAAATTTCCCACACAAGTTAGAATGTTACTTAAAGTGAAGTTAATTCAATACAGTGCCGTATCGCGCATCGAAATTGCTGAAATAGAATTATTTCTCCTCTACGTCTTTTACCTAACTTAGATTTATTATTTATTTATTTCATTGTAACCGTGATATATTTTCGTTTTCTGTATTTGGCAACTTCAATGCCTAATTAGTTTGTTTATATTGCATATGGCTTCGTACCAGGGGAGCAAGCTAACGTGTTAAGTAGGAAATATATAGTGAAAGAATATAGAATATGGATCTAGAAGAAATGCACCCCTCTGCCTTAAATTCGCTTAGCTTCCCGTAACATGTTTGGTGGTATTGACAAGGGGCACACAAAACAACATGCTTATCACTTACTTTATTTAGTAGTTCTTCCGCTTTGCTAAGTATTGTCTCCAGGCTCTCCCGATGAAGGAAGATCTTCCTGGATTGTATCTTTCTGTGGAACGTTTTCTCCAACAGCATCATCCCCACCTGCCTGCCCAAGCTCCTTGCAATGTCACCATGCACCTGCAATACAAAAAAAAAACTTACCTCAAACTCACAATCATTTTAATTTTGGATTGAAAAATCTAAAAAAGAAATGCTTGTCATCTTCATACAATTAGAACAAAAGCTTTAAAAATATAATAAAGAATTTTGTCAGAAAAATTGGTTAGTATATCTTTTCTGCCCGTTAGGACTCTCATTTGGGCAATTTATTTGTGAAAATTAGATTAATTTTAGTTGACTGTAAGAATTGTTAATATATATANAAGATCTGTAATTATTAACACACTTATGGGAAATCTGAAGATTAGGAATGACAGTTTAATTAGGATAAGTAAAATTACGGTTACACACAGGCATCATAATAACTCTAATCGCAATTAGTAAATCTCGAAATCTCATGTGTGTGAGATACTCACAAAAGAGGAAGGTATTTTGTTGCAAGATAGTAAATTCAACTATCCTTTCTTGTATCATATATATATATATATATATATATATATATATATAGAAATAATAAAAATGGAATAAATAAATGAATAAAAATTATGGGTTGGCAGAAATGAATAAAATAATGAAGATTAGAATAAAAAACATATATACACTGAGTGGTCATTTTATAACAACCATCCCCTCGATTTCATTTGATTACCTCTTTAATGCAGCCTTGATTCCAGGTACAAACTTTTCCAGAGGTTTAAAGGTCATTTGTGACATTTGAATTGAATTTTCTAATAGTATCAGACTAGATGGTTGCGTATCTAAATGTGGAAATGCCTTTTCAACTGCATTCCACTAACACTCAGTTGAGATCAGGAGATTTTGGAAGCCATCGCCACAAAGTACAATATCAAGTCAGTCCTTAAGAATTCCAAAATTGCGGCCTTTATTATGTTGAAAATATTCCTCGATATTGTGATTGATCATCAGCATTACAAAATTTACTAAGTTAGTAATGATGTTAAGATAAGTCTTGTTCAGGATACTATGTATTCAAAATAAAGGGCCTATAACAAACCAGGAAAGTAATTTTTTCTGTCCTAATTCTCTGGTGGTAAAACTGTGACGTAACAGATAATTGTTTTGAAACTGCAAAGAGTTCATAATAAATTTTCTACTCAGAGCTCGAAAGTCGTTAATATGCACATTGCCAGCAAAAGTAACTAGGTTAATCAGTTAAAGTGTAGAATCAAGAGTACTCCGCAATTTACTTAATGTCCGCATTAATAGTTTCCTTGTTTCTCTCATTCTATCAAATGATTTATTAATTGTTTGGTTGTATTTATTGACTTGATTTGTGACTTATTGAAAAACAGTTAATGACATTATGTTAATTTTTAATTAAATTAATATTTTAATCCATTTTATTCTTTTACATTATAATTTTTTGAAAGTTATTATTGATTGATTTTATTAACTATAGTGTTGATTACTTGATTGTAGTCACTTGAATTTTTATATAGAAGAAAAAAGATTTATTTTAATATGAGCGTATAGAAACGTTGCTGCTTTAGCAAAGATCTTATTTTCAGTTTAACGAGTGCCTAGTGGGTAATATGTAGATTATCTAGGTAGTTTGCAGATTTACTAGGTAATTTGAAAAACTGAAACAATTTTTGTGCACTTTAACGAATCACCCTAGTTAATATGCACATTAACTGGGTAGTCTTTAGGGTCAATGGTTTCAACACTTTGGCTGTAACATATATAAAAAACAATGTGAATAAATAGTAAGCTAAATGACTTGTTGATTATCTGATTTTTTACTTTATTTTTACTTTTGAAAAAAATATTTGACGCCTATATAAGCAAATAGAAAGTTTATATATTTCGACTCTTTAGATATTTAGCTGATAAATTAATAATAAATAATAAAAATAGCATTTCCCTGTAGGTAGATTAAATATCTTTAGATTATGTTTCAGATATGAAATCGTAAATAGCTTGTTAATTATTTCGCCCATAAAGGGGGGGGGTAAAAATTAAATATAATGCTAAAAAGTAAGTAATTAATCATGAAAAATGTTACCTAAAACAAAATACTCAGTGCAATTACTCTTTCCGAAAGAGAAAGAAAAAGCTCACTCTCGGAATCACAGACTAATGACTGTCTCTAGCTTGTTGAATAATCGATGAGCTAGGCTGTTGTTATTCAGCCAAAAAACGCGCCGTTAATTGTTTTGTTAAGAATTTTCCTTGATTAATAATTAATCTGAGGCAACCTTTTCGACGAAGATCTGCAGTTTCTTTTTCTTTTTTTTGGTATCTTCAATTAACAATGTATCTTTAAAGATGAAAGAGAATTAATGATTTTGGCTACCATTTGAATGATTAATTTTCTCTCATTGTCATCTCGAAAGGAAATATTTAGATGTTCTGATAATATTTTTAAGCAAACATATAATATTGGATACAACCGATGCTGTCTCAAAAGACTATTGTTAGTTGATTTTCTTGAGTGGATTGGATAGGATTTGAACTTATTTTTCTCACAGTCAAACATTTTCTTTCTTTGTTTTCTTATACCCCGTAGTCAAAAAGGAACTATAAAGCGCACAAAGTTAAAACAAGTAAAAAAATTCAACATTTGAATTATTTTTAATATAATGAACGAAAATTTTCACTACCTAATATGCAATTTCAACGGGTTTAAAGAGAAAATCTTTAATATGTGTATTGTCATGAAAAACTAGGTATAGCATATTCCTTATCATTTAATAATTAAATTTATATTTTATTTATTCTTTTTCTCAATAAATATCCATAAAATCTTTTTCTCGATGTAATTCTAATTCACCAGAAGTCAAATTCTATAAATAGATAATATTTCTACAACTGCCTAAAACATTTATATCAAATTCAAGGTTTGTAACGTTTTGTTTTAATAAGATAATTATTAATTTCCTACCGAATGCATTTGAAATTTATAAGTTTGTGATAATAGTCAAACAAAATTAGACTTTTTAATTGGAAAACTTAATAGAGCGTTCTATATAAAAAAAGAAATCTTGGGTATTAAGTCCTCATCAGTGATATCTGAAAAATTCCTCTATTCGTTTCTCCTTTTCAGGATAAAGAGGGAAATTGGGGTAATATGAGGGGGGGGGGAGAATTGAATTTATTCTATACCGGCAAGTGAGGCATTGTTTCCACGATTATTTTTCACGCTGAACAAAATGAAATCTATCTCGAGATGATCGGACTGTTAGTTTAGAAGTTAAAAGGGTCTTATGTACAAACTTGTACTAGTACCTATTTATTCATTTAATATATCTAAAAGTGAAATAAGGGAGACATTGAATAATTTTTTTCTTTATTTTTCCATTTTTCCTTGGCAACGCTACGCTTTATATTTCAAATCACTTTTGTTCTTATTTACATCTGGCAAATCTTGAAAATGGGAGTCTATTTTTGAGAGGTTGCAAGACTTCGACTGTTAATTTCCAATTTGTATATTTTTGAAGTGAATGAAGTTTTTAATGCACGAGTAATACATGATATATTGCTTTCTATGCAGTTTTTTATGCAGAATCGTTTGAAAGCATGGATAAGTCAATAAAACAAACAGTTCAAAAGTTATGAGGATTTTCATGCAGCAAAAGTACTATTTTTGTCATAACTTATGTATATTTTATATTTTCTTATCTAGGGGCTATCTGAACATGTAACTTACATTATCCGATGACTGTTTCTATACAAAATTGAAAGAGATAAAATTTGATTTGATGGGATTAATAGTTTGGAAGTTATAAGGAAAGTTATTAGGAAGTTTCTTCATCATAAAAACAGTTCGAAACTAGTTCATTTTGAACAAAAAAAAATCTTTACCACTTTTGAAATATGAGCTCTTTTGATTCAGTTTCATTCAATAAAATGTAAAAAATGCATGAGAAACAATATCTCACTTGCACTGAAATAATATCTTGTCTGTTTAGCAATATAAAAAGCGTAAAGAAGCGCAAAAACAAAAGTGTACTCTTTGTATATAAAACGCTGAGCGTCTTGGGATGGGTCTCATTGAATTCAGCTAGCAAAATTCGATTACAAACAATATTTTACATGTTCAGATAATTCTTCGATAGTATTGTAAAATGTGTACAAAAGTAAGTATCAAAAGAAATACTTTATATATATAT